GAACAAACTACATTTTCTGAAGATGTCCGTTTAGAAGGTGAAATGGAAGAGAAGCACCATCAAAATGAAGGCCTTGCAATTGGAGGCTCAGATACAGATGGAGAGACTGAGTATGTTCTTCGAGAATGCTGAAGCTGCTAAGCAATTCTTGGAAGAGCTAGAGAGAAGATCTGCCATTGCTTCTCACTCAAGTGCTGATACTTCTCATGATCATTCTCAGATAATTGATGATCAGCTTGTCATTGATTCAGATGAAGAAGGGGATAGCGATGAAGAAGGGGAAGGGAAGAAGTTATTTGATTCAGCTGCTTTGGCTGCCCTCCTGAAAGCAGTAACTGGTGGTGGCTCTGATGGCAGTAACATTACTATAACCTCTCAAGATGGTTCCAGGCTTTTCTCTATGGAACGTCCTGCAGGTTTAGGATCCTTACTGCAAAATGCAAAATCTGCATCTTGATCTAACAGGCCTAACATATTTAGTCCTCCTGAAACAAGTAGGAGAGATTCTGACAATAACTTAAGTGAAGAAGATAAAATAAAATTGGAAAAATTACAGCTTATAAGAGTCGAATCCTTGAGACTCATTCAGAGGCTCAGACTTTCAACAGAAGATTCTATAGCAGCACAAGTTCTTTATAGACTGGCACTTGTTGCGGGCAGATAAACCAGTGAACTGTTTAGCATTGATTCTGCAAAGAGGAAAGCTCTGGAGCTTGAAACAGACGGTAAAGATGATTTAAGCTTCTCCTTGAATGTACTTGTTCTTGGGAAGATTGGTGTGGGCAAGAGCTCCACAATAAATTCAATCTTTGGTGAGGTGAAGACCTCAATTGATGCGTTCGAGCCTGCCACTACGGTTGTGAACAAGATTACAGGAATAGTAGATGGTGTGAAACTGAGGATCGTTGATACCCCAGGTTTGAGATCTTCAGCCATGGAGCAAGGTGCCAATCGCAGGGTCCTAGCTTCTATAAAACAATTCATAAAGAAGTGTCACTCTGATGTTGTTGTCTATGTTGATCAGTTGGACATCCAGACCCGGGATCTTAATGATTTGCCACTGTTAAGATCAATCAATAGTTCTCTTGGCAGCTCTATCTGGAAAAATGCCTTAATTGCTTTGACTCATGCTGCTTCGCACCCCCTGATGGACCATCTGGCTCACCTTTGAGTTATGAGGTGTTTGTTGCCCAACGTTCCCATGTTGTTCAGCAGTCTGTTGCTCAGGCTGTTGGTGATCTGCGCATGATGAATCCAAGTTTGATGAATCCTGTTTGTCTTGTTGAAAATCATCCATCATGTCGAAAGAATAGAGATGGCCACAAGGTGCTACCTAACGGTCAAACCTGGAGACCTCAACTATTGTTGTTATGCTACTCTATCGAAGTCTTATCCGAAGCAAATTCTCTCTCCAAACCTCAAGATCCGTTTGACCATCGGAAGCTCTTTGGTTTTCGTGTTCGGTCTCCTCCTCTTCCATACTTATTATCTTGGTTGTTGCAGACTCGTAGTCATCCTAACTCTCCACTGATCAGGGTGATAATAATGGTGACTCGGATATTGATATGGCCGATTTATCTTATTCGGATCAAGAAGAAGATGAGGATGAATATGATCAGCTCCCACCATTCAGACCTCTAAGGAAAGTGTAGCTTGGTAAGCTTACCAAGGAGCGAAGGAAGGCATATTTTGAGGAGTATGATTACCGTGTGAAGCTCCTCCAGAAAAAGCAGTGGAGAGAGGAGTTGAGAAGAATGAGAAATATGAAGAAATGAAAGCCTTCCGTCGATGAATATGGTAACACGGGGGAAGATGTTGATCAGGAAACTGGTGCTCCAGCTGCTGTACCAGTTCCATTACCTGATATGGTCCTACCACCTTCCTTTGATGCCAATAATCCAGCATACAGGTACCGATTCTTGGAACCAACTAATCAATTCATGGCAAGACCAGTTTTGGACACTCATGGTTGGGACCATGATTGTGGCTATGATGGTGTTAATGTTGACCGTAGTCTAGCAATTGCCAGCCAGTTTCCTGCTGCAGTGGCCGTGCAACTCACCAAGGACGAGAAAGAGTTTAACATGCATTTGGATTCTTCAGTTTCTGCAAAGCATGGTGAGAATGGATCATCCATGGCTGGCTTCGACATCCAAAATGTTGGAAAGCAATTAGCTTATGTTTTAAGAGGGGATACCAAATTCAAAAATCTCAAAAAGAACAAAACAGCTGCGGGCTTTTCGGTTAAAACAGTGCCGACCGAACCGAACTACCCTTAACCGAATTAATCGAACTTTTTTTTTAAACGTTAACCGAATCGAACTTTTTTTCAAACATATTAACCGAACCAAATAAATTTCAGTTAATTCGGTTAATTTTCGAATTAACCGATTTTTTTTTTAAATTTTCTAATTTATATAAAAATTAAATGTTTTTTAATTCAAAAAAAAATTTATAATTAATTTAAATAATATATAATTATAAAATAAAAATTTCAGATAAATTTTTTAATTAATTAATATTGATTTAGATTTAAAAGTTATTGGATCTTAAATTATTAATTGAGTTTTAAATAGTTTGGGCTTAGTCCAAATGTTATATATAATATATTTAATATTTTTTAATTAAAAAAACAGTTTACAATTATTTTAAATAATATATAATTATAAAATAAAAAATTTATATAATTTTTTTAATTAATTAATATTGATTTAGGTTTAAAAGTTATTGGATCTTAAATTATTAATTGGGTTTTAAATGGTTTGGGTTGAGCCCATATGTTATATATAATATATTTAATATTTAAAAATTTAATTTCGGTTAATTCGGTTAATTAACCGAATTCGAATCGAATTAACCGTTAACCGAATTCTAAAAATTTTCTTAACTGTTAACCGACCGAACTAATTCGGTAACCGAATCGAATTAATCAAATTAATTCGGTTCAATCGGTTAACCAAATTAGTTCGGTTATTTGAACACCCTAGAATTAGGTTTCCGAACGACAGTCCTAGCTCTCTTGAGTTTTCTGACCGTTACTTCATCACTTGGTTTCTTGGTAGTGGAAAATCTATCAATATGCTTGATATCGAGCATTGGTGATTTGACCACTTCCAAACTTGTAAGCATCCTAATATTGACAAAATCATCTTTACAGTCTACCAATATGCTCGGTATCGACTATTGGTGATTATACCACTTCCAAACTTGTGTCCTAATATGGACATAATCATCTTCATCGAGCTAATAGATGATCGTGTCTGAAGGAAAAATTTACGTCGAATAGATGATCTTGTGTCTAAAGAAAAAAATCTCTGTCAAATTCTTACATATGGGTGTTTTCCTAGTTTTATCTCGTGAGATAAGCAGGCAAAATTGGCATATGATGCCGGCGGTATATTTAATTGGCCCATTAGACCACACATAATTTTTTTTTGGATTTACAATAAATGCTACAGTATATGATAAATTCGTCATGTCGAGTGACGAGTTTGCTCAAATAATATTTTTAAATAATCTTAAGTAAGTGGGTCTCGTATGATCTAATATTATAATATATTTCTTTAAACTTGCCATGTAGACGATACGAGTCCGTTGAATTTTTTTTTTAAAATTCAGTAACTAATTTTTAAATTATAATAAATTTAAAAAAGTCTATGAAACTCGTCATGTTGATGTGACGAGTTTCATGTGATTTTTTAATGTTTTAGTTGTTTGTAGTCATTGGGTTTAGGATTATAAATATAAATTTAGAGTTTAGGGTTTTTATTGTGTATTATTAAGAAGAAGAAATACCCTCGAGATTTTTTTTAAGAATTCTTGTTAAAATGTTTACTCGAGATGAAATGCTACGTCTTGACGTTGTCCATATTTCCTTGTTTGAACTCACTCTAGAAGAAGAATGGGGCATTCGTCAGGATGAATGACACTTAAAGATCCACATGAATGAATTATTATATATCTACAACAATCTGGGTTGTAGCTAATCACATTTCTTCGTGGTTTTAAAGTGAACCGTAATTGATTTAGACGTTGATTGAACTTTGGAGTCCTGAAACGTATATTTTTTATTTTTCGAGTGGTAAATCTAAAATTAAACTTAGGACGAATACACATTTCATACAAATAAAAAAATAGCATAAAATAAATATATGTTTTGCATTATTGTATGATCTTTTAAACAGCGATATTCAAATATATAACAGGAATTATAATAAAATTAACAATAAAATATGATTTCTTAAAGTAATAAAGAAATATTCTGAAGGATAAAGTGCAACAATGATTACCCAACTTTTAAAGCACTTTCATTTTGACCATTTCTTGTATCTTATTTTCGAGCAGTTAATCATTACATGATTCGGAACAGTAAGGAGTCATCTCTTTGTTATTTAAGCCCATTATGGATTTGGATTTTTTTTTTCTTATCTCAATGGTTAAAGGACTCGTTGTTGTTTTTAGATGTCACAGTTTCGAGCATTAGTAGCTGTACCAGAACGGATACTACTTTAAAATCACGCTTAATAAAAAAAAACTTCATTTTGGGAGTCAAAATTAGACGAGCAAAATCATCTAGTTTTCCTTTTTGATTCATCTAACGCCATTGAGGGAGAATGAGATAGAGACCAGAATATCAAAAAGAATATAATTGGATGACCTGAACAGAAATTCAGTAATAGTTGGGTGACTTAAATAGTTAGTTTACCTTAATTTTAACCCATCAATCTAAGGGGCAATCGGTATGCAAATTAGACCGTTGAAAAAATGCTATCAAATCTCAACCGTATATCAGAGGCGGCTACAATCTCAGCCATCCATTAAACGCGTTTTTCATCTCCTCGCGCGTTTTCCTTGCCCTTTCCTCTTGGCTAAGTCGAAGCTCCTAAGCTCGCTTTGACTCTCAAGCTCTGACTGAATTGACAAAAATATTACTTTTTTTAATGGTTTTTCTCTCTATATAAGTTACTTTGTATCTCCTCAAAGAGAAAGCAAAAAAATAAAAATAAAAAGAAAGCAGTAAAAGGTAGCGAAATGGCTGACGCCGGCGGTCAATTTGGAGATTTTCCGGCTATTAATACACACGGAGGTCGATTTATTCAATACAATATTTTTGGAAATTTGTTCGAGGTGACATCGAAGTATCGGCCTCCGATCATGCCTATCGGTCGTGGAGCCTACGGCATCGTTTGGTATGCGATTTCACTAAATTATAAGTTCTGATTTTTCTCTTTGTTAATTTTGATTTCTGGATTGATGTTTGATTTCTTTTTTTGAATTTTGAAGCTCGGTGTTGAATTCGGAAACGAATGAGATGGTTGCTGTAAAGAAAATCGCCAACACTTTTGATAATCACATGGACGCTAAGCGGACACTTCGTGAGATTAAGCTCCTTCGACATTTGGATCACGAAAACGTAAGCTCTCTCTCTTTTTCTTTTCTTTTTTTGAAATTTTGAAGTTCTTATTGTATAATTGTTAGGAGATGATGTCCAAGAATCAAAGAACGAACTGGTCAAGGAAATGGAAACCTTAATTTCAAAGATTTAAAATTGTTAACCAAAAGTCAACGAATTCCTTTTCCTCAGCAATTTCAATCTCCATTTTAGTTTAAAGTTAAATTGATTCTTTAAGTAGAGACTTTATTCTTGATAAACAGGTTATCGGAATCAGAGATGTGATTCCTCCGCCTTTACGGAGAGAATTTAATGATGTTTACATTGCCACTGAGCTCATGGATACCGATCTTCACCAAATCATTCGCTCTAATCAGGGTTTATCCGAAGATCATTGCCAGGTACACAATATCCTTTTTCCTCAAGTTTTCCGATGAACATCGGAGAACTGGAGGGAACGTAAAGACTCCCATCTATGTTTTAATCGTCTCAAAATATATAATATTCGAAGTCGTCTATATATGTATGTGTATGTTGATTTTGTTTCATTTTGTTGCGTGGTATGCAGTATTTCTTATACCAGCTTCTTCGAGGGCTGAAGTACTTACATTCTGCCAATGTCATTCATAGAGATTTGAAACCCAGCAACCTCTTGCTGAATGCTAATTGTGATCTTAAGATTTGTGACTTTGGTCTCGCTCGACCTACTTCCGACAACGATTTTATGACTGAATATGTTGTCACGAGATGGTATAGGGCGCCGGAGATATTGCTAAACTCTTTGGACTACACAGCCGCCATAGATGTGTGGTCTGTTGGTTGTATTTTCATGGAGCTCATGAATAGAAAGCCTCTGTTTCCTGGAAAAGATCATGTCCATCAAATGCGTTTACTGACCGAGGTAATTTAAGGTTTAAGCAAATACTTGTACACTTCAGTAACTTGTATGGTATTATAATTTTGGTAATTTAATGTGGTATGGGATTTTAGTTTGAGGATTTGATAATAGTATTGTAATTTTGGTGATTTATTTCTTTGTTTAGATAAAGACATACCAATGCCTTTTCTGCTTTATAGCTGCTCGGCACACCAACCGAATCCGATCTCGGATTTCTCCGGAATGAGGATGCAAGGAGATATATCCGGCAGCTCCCTACACATCCGCGTCAATCACTAGCAATACTTTTCCCAAATGTTCATCCATTGGCCATTGATCTCATTGACAGAATGTTGACATTTGACCCGACCAAAAGAATTACTGGTAAGTGCTACATTATGGATTATGGATTATGGATCCAGTGTTGAGGTCTTTTAATTGAGATGAATTACACAATTACCATATTTCTCTTGCATGTGTTAAAATCTGTTAAATGGACAGTCGAAGAAGCATTGGCACATCCGTATCTCGAAAGATTGCACGACATAGCTGACGAACCGGTATGCACCGAGCCATTCTCTTTTGAATTCGAGCAGCAACCGTTGGGAGAAGAGCAGATGAAGGATATGATTTACCAGGAGGCCTTAGCTCTAAATCCAGATTATGCTTAATAATAAAATATGGTCCTATCTTCAAAATGCGCCATTTCAAGTAATGTTTGGTGTAATTACCTAGTGGTGGCCGATAGTTTGCGATCCATTTGCATCTGCAATATCTTTGGAGCGGCTTTGCTTTGCAGCCTTGACCACCATTGACGTTAACTTTCATGACATCGGTGCCTTGCAACCATTTTCAAGGCTCAAGACTTCATAAACACGGTGTTTTTTTCTCTTATCCTGATATGGTTATTTGTTTATTTCTTTTGCGTGTATCTTTTTCAGCTGTATTTAAAGATCTTGTTGTAACCAATATCAATGAAAATTGACATTAGTTTGCATAATTTTTGTCCATCAAGGAGAATTTTTTATTTAGTGTTGAATTTTATAGAACACGTCTTATCACCGGCTGTTACTCGTGAATTTTTATTTAACCATAATAATAATAATAAAAAAACCCAGCACAAGCCATTCAATCTGAACCGAAATTAACCTTAACCTAGAACGATTCGAATTTGAAATGATCTGAACGAGTAACCCAAAATGATCCGATCTTAAAACTAGGGATGGAACTAGAAGAAATTTAATAAGAGGGTCAAATATAAATAGTAATAAAATAAGATTAATGTATTGCATCACACCACATGGTTGTCCATGTATGGGGAAGGGTGGGGTTCCCCCTGGAACTTGGTAACTAATGGAGTAATTAAATATTGCACGTTTTTTATATCCTTAATCTCCATATCAGACAATAGTCCCCCGTGTGATGTCCTAATAATGCTCTTATAATTTAAGCTGAGGCAAATTAATTAGCATTCACTTAACTACCGCAGTTCTCCTTAATGACAGAAACTAAAGCATCTGATAGTAAATAACTAGACATTCTGAGCTAATTGACTTAATTATGAAAGATTGTTTTTATTTTAATGCTTTAGGTCCTTCAACCAAACTGAAGTAGATGCTTACTCGAATCGATCTATGGCAGCGCCACGGAGGGTTTGCACGTTGTTTACCATGGAACATCCCAACAAACATTCAGTAAGCTTGTTCCCAAACGGAATTATTTGACATTCGGAAACCTCATGCCTCTTATCTTCATTCTTGTAGATGAAATGCACGGCAACTCGAGTCTTGAAGTCTCCTCAAGTTGATGAACCTGATTCCTTTAAGGGAAATAGATTCTGAATGTCAAGGATGTCCGCAAGCACACCGGCAGCAGTAGTATCATTCCCGGCTCCCGCGCCTTGAATAACTAAGGGCTGTTCGCTATAACATTGACTATATATTTCTAGCTGCAATTGCACCAGGTAAAATGTATTTCAACTTCATATCTAATAAGTTGAAGGGTTTCCTAAATTTAAAAAATTATTCACCAGAGTAGAATTTCAAAGTGAGAGAAGGAAACAATATAAGAGAAAGGGGAAGCTTACCATATTGTCACTTCCTCTCAATCTTCCCAAAGCAGAATTTTTAGGAAGTTCTTGAATTCCAACGTCACACCTAAAAGAAGAAATAAAGTCAAGGAATCATTAGGTTATAAGCAAGTCCCGAGACAGAAAAATAACAGATTGTCGCAATAATCAAGTCCGATTCAAGGATATTCATAGACATTACTGGAAGCAGAATGGTTTAATTTTGCAAACATTATCAACGCCTTAAATTAACCTCCTTTTACATTTCAATCTGTACTTGAAAACGTCGTTTGGGATTGCACTAGTATATGGTTATATCTGAGAAATCTACTATCATCATCAGACCTCAGATAAGAATAAGAGATCTCGACAACTTTTTAAAACCTATAGGTGTTTGATCTTCCATCAGTGTGATGTTTCTATTCATAATTTAATAGAATTAGCATGAATATTTGAATACCTTGAGCCTTCTATAACGCATACATAACGGAGGATATTCCCATTGAGTGAAGCTTTTCTAACTCTCTCTTCGATATTGTTGTCAAGCTTTACAAGTCCTCAAGAGACATCTTATTAGGTGCCATTTCTTCGGGATACAAGCTCTAAATCTACAAGAATATACCAAACCATCAAAACGAAGTTAAGACTATTTGAATAATGCTTAAAACAAACCAGTTCATTTTTAAACTCCTCCCTCCCAAAGTATACCCCTTTATCCTGACTGAGCTCAATGCACTGAGCAAAGAGCAAGGTTCAGTTACAATTGCAATATCGTGTTTAGCATCCAACTTAAAACCAACTGGCAAATGTTGAAGCGCCAACTTGAACATAAAACCACAGAAAACCGAAGACTTAAACAGATACCGAATAACACTACTTAAAACCAAGCAATTTCTATGAAATAACCAATTTTTATAACGTTTGTAAAATATTAGCCTGCATAAAATTTAAAACTCAATGGATTAAAGTTTTTTTTTAGTAATAATTAAAAAAATAACTTTAATCCATTGAGTTTCAGTACTAACCTTTATGACTTCTAAAGCAATCAATAGGATAGGAGGCAACAGAGTGTTTCAGTACTAATCTTTATGCTATCTAAGTCAATGCGTCTCCCAAGAAGCTGGGCGAGGACTAAAGCCTGTTTCAGAGAAGAAAAAAAACTAAAGCACTGCAGAAAATCTATGCGAGTGTAATAAGTTTTTCATCACTTCTAAATAAAATGTGTCGATGGATAGTCACTAATCCAGCTATAATCCATACGACCAAGTATCGAATTATGCATCAAAGATACCAACCATTAGCAGAAGTAGCTTTCCTATTCAAAAGATCACATTGGCTATTATGCCAATGTTATATATTTTGGCGCATTTCTATTATCATCAGACAGTGAACAACCAAATTATTCTCAAATTTACTGTGCAAAAGTTACAAATTGTTGGAATATATGAGCATGAACTACAGTGTGTTTGAGAGTGTATACAAAAACTAGAAAATACCATGAAGAAAAGGCAACGTAAGAAAGGTACTAAACCCGATATATTTTCAAACCTTGAAATTAAACCCTAAAACCCACATACAAGAGGTCCAAAAATATGATAATGCACATCTGTATGTCATAATGGTTTATATTGATATATGCATGCAAATACTATTCATATCTGAGAAAAACAGAGTACTAATCAAGAACATGGAAAACATATTCATTTGAAACTTCCTTGCAACATCCATTCCACTAAGGTCATCTCGTGGATCTGCAATGACAAGAGTACGCAGTATCATTACATTTGCGATAACTATGAAAGATCTTGTAGGATCCAAATTCTTTGCGAAAATAGCATGGGCCAAATAGAAGAGTCGAAGTTTTAAAGGGTGGAATCCATGCATAGAGAAAAGATGTCAATTTTAGTTTTCTAAATACCTGGTTCGGTGTATCCCAAGCTTTTAGCAGATCTAACGACTTGGCTCAATGGCTTGCAGTCTTCAACCTCGTTCATTAAATAACCCAATGTACCTGTCAAAATGAAATTTATATATATAATACTCAAACCAAAATTAAAAGATATACATAGCTGAAAAGTGAAAACCCTACAGAAAACTAATACTGTGGATTAATCTCAATGCGTTAACAAATTTATACCACTCAAACTTCAAACAATAAGATGGATGGGGTCTCCAGATGAAATTATGCGATTTACTGATGATATGACTGGAAGACCAGCACCGACCTAACAAATAATAAAAACTAAATTAGTAGAAAAAGCTTGATATATTGCAGTGCAGATACATCAAGCTGCATCTGCCCCGTACATGAAGCAAAAAATACAGTAAAGAGATTGTTTCAAGTTGGCTTACAGTTACTCATTCTGTGTGTGTCGAGGATGTGAAACCAATTTGTCATAATCCTCCTGCAGAACAAGGGAAAGAAACATCATAACAATTTAGACAAGCAGCAACGCATAGATATAAAAATCATAGAGATGTATAAATAAAATGTTAACAACAAAGTATGTTACTTTATCGATGGTTTGGAGTTCAAACTGAAAACATTAGCATCAGTGGAACTGAAAAACTATAAATTGACGGTGAGAAAGCATCCTAACTGTTTCAAGTTCACTAATGAGGATGTGCAGAAGAGCTTATTACCAATGTGGATGTAATAGGCTTTTTGTTCGCCAGAACAACACAGCACCCCAGGTCTACTCCTTTTAGCACTCCAATAGTCTCGGAACTGGCTGTGCAATCTACAAGGGCTAAACCTATGGCAAAATTACAAAAAACATAATCATATAGGTTGCAATGGACTAAGAAATCCACATAAAAAAAGCTAATATATGATCACATTCTGTGGCAAAAAAGACATCTCAGAACTGGCCGAGCTATCTACAAGGGCTAAACTGTGGCAAAATTACAAAAATATAAAAATAAAATGGCAGCCATGAATGAAGATTTTCACATCCAATTAAGCTAGTAACATGATTACATTGTGGAGAAAAAATGTCCACCAAAAGAATACCATACAAACCTGTTGATTTTCCAAGAATTGTTGCAATGTCTAGCATTTTTTTTCTTGATTCTAGACTGGAGAACACCTGATATTCATCTACATTTAGTATTCAACGAAGAAGCATAGGTAAAATACAATAAAGAAACAGCATTTGTCTGATAAACAAAACAAAAAAGAAAGGGGTATAAAAGAATTTACCTAAGCTAGTAAGTTTTGACAATGAAGAACTGTCCCATTTTACCCTACAAACTTCAGCTAAAACGTTATCATCCAACTCTTTTTGTTTGACATCTGATATTCTGATGCAATAACTAATGATTTACTATCAGATACTCCTACAACTCGCAAATGAACTCCCTACCATGCAACATAAGAGACGACAATCAAACTTGCATCCAAATCAATATAGTCATCACTCATTAGTCATCATTAATGAAAATTATTCTAAAGACGTTTCCTTTAACTCGTTTCACTTCACAAACAATTCATCCAATGAAAGGAAAAAAAAGACAACTTGAAATGAAAAGAAGCAAACTTTTATGTGAAAATAAGTGATCCAGAAAGGAAAAGGATTGAAACAAGTATGAGGGTGGAGTGAAGGGATCTGCAGGAAATGATGTGTTGGAGGAGATGGCGTCCAACACCTCCACAGCCCATCAGAATTAGGAGGATAATCTTCATTGTCTTGGTTGTGGTTGATATTCTGGGTCTGGGTTTTCTTCTATGAAACAAGAAGTTTCCGGAAATTTATACTGAATCGGTGAAAACAGAAACTGACTGGTTGTTAAGTTAATTTGGGTTTGATCGTGGTTCTTTCCAATCTCCATCATAGTTTAATAGAATATTAAAATAGGCTTATATTATAAAGGCTTAATTTTAAAACAAGTGCCCAAATTATATTGTTTTTCATACAAAATTGTCTAAACTATTTTTTAAATGATTTAAGTGTCTAATGTTACAAATGTTACTACCTTAGGTGTTCGGGTCGTAACTGCTATTAGTTTTCTCTGATAAGTGACATATGTCACATTCCGATATTTTTGAAATATATTTTTTGAAAAAAATATTATTATATTAATAAAAAATCCTAATTTCTCCTAAATTAAAAAAACTCTAAATCATTAAAAATCTTAAGTCCCTAACCCTAACTAGGGGTGTAAACGAGCCGAGTCGAGTTCAGCAATTCGAATCGACTCGAAAACTCGGGAGCTTAAAATTTTTAAGGTAGACTCGAACTCGAAATTATGAACTGAAGCTCGTGAGCAGCTCGAAAAGGCTCGAAATGAAAAAAAATCTTAAACTTAACAAGATTGAATCCTCAAACTCGAACTCGGATCTTAAATACATGAAAGCCTTATTATAGTTTAAAAAAAATCAACACATAAATCTTAATATATTATATTTTCGAGTTCCTCACGAGCTTTTTCGAGTCGAGTATCAAGTAGCTCGTTTCGGCTCGTTAAGAATTTGAGTAGAGCTAGAGTTCGAGTCGAGTCTATTCGATCCGAGTATTTATCGAGCCTTGACCGATTCGATCTTGAGTAGCTCGTGATTTGTCTCGTCTCATTTACAGTCCTAACCCTAACCCATCGTTATCACCCTTTTCGGCCATAACCACCATCGCCGACATAGTTTCTGTCATTCTCCTAGTCATATGTCGTTGTTGATTTGCCGTCGAAATCACGTAGGATCATGATTTTTATCATAGGGCTCGCATGATACAAAACGTCTATTGGTGTCAATCGGTCGCAATTTCATAGGGTTATTGATCATTGGGAGGAGGTGAGGTTATGTGGATTTTCGTCGACGGCAAAGGACAGCGGTCGACATAGGTTTAGAGTTGAAATGAAGGTTTTTAATATTTAGAACTATTTCAAAACTTTTGTGTTTTTAATATAATTTTAATTTTTTAATTTTAAAGTATTTTTTCAAAATTACCATAATGTGACACATGTCACTTAATGGGGAAAATTAACGACGTTTACGGCCTAGGCATCTAAAATGGCAATGCTTGCAACGTTAGGCACATGGATCATTCAAAAGATAGTTTAGACCTATTTGTGAAAAATTGTACAGTTTGGGCACTTTTTACAATTAAGCCTATAATAAATAAGTAACTAAAGTTTACTCTTTTTATTCTAAGTGTCTAAAGTATTTTTTTTTTTGTCAAAATAAGTACTTAAACTTATCTTTTTGGTCAAAAATATATAACTAAAGTGTTTTTGGACAAAATAGGTACCTAAAGTTATTAATTTTTTTCATCTAAGTTCTAGAAAGTTGACAATGTGATATTAATTAAAAAATACTTCAAATATTTAGATGAAAAAATTTGAATATTTTATGTATTTATTTTGACTAAAAACATTTTAAGTATTTATTTTGATAAAAAGATAAACTTGGATATTTATTTTAACAAATAAATATTTTAAATATTTAAACAAAAAAGATGATATATTTTAAGACTTATTTATGATAAAATACTATTAAATAGTATTATTACTTTGTCAAATTTGTTTTTGGTTACTTTGTCATTTTCTTTTTTGCTTAATTGGAAACCAATAAAAAACTGAAAAAATAATGTAACACCCATAACATGTATAATTATACTTATACAGATTATAGATGTTATCTGAATTTTCAAAAATCATTTCCCAATTTATGCATGATTTAAAATTTATTTTCTTAAAATGGTAAATGATATTATAAAAATATCATATCATATAAATCATGTTTTGTTGTAACCAATTTAATTCGAAAGATTTTTTATGAATAGTAAACAGTACCCGTGAACAATGAACAGTGGGAGAATCGGTTCCCTGTTGGGGGGAATCAGTACCCCATTTACATACTGGAAAATTTTGCTTAAAACGGGTTACTGTTCATGCTACAGTACTGATACAGTAACTTTCAAAAATTTCATATAAATCTCATAAAAATTAACCTTTCATCACTATAACAATTTCCAAAATTTATTCAACAAAATAAATTTAACATTATCAAATTACATGCCACTATCTAAATCAAATTCCATTATAGGATGTCTTACTGATGTTGAAATATACCTCTCGATGCTTGATGTCGTTCTGAACTCTTTATTCTTATTCTTTGCTTTATACCTACGCGTGAAAATCATCACACGCTAAGTATATACTTAGTGAGGCAATTAAAACATTTAACAGTGCAATACAATTCATGCATGATTTTCAATGTCAAAAATAAAATTTCCATAAAATCATTTTACTAACATATCCAATATTTTACCATGATCAAAATAATATAAAATCTATTACCATTTATCCCATAAGCTCGTAAGCTTATTTTACCAAAAATATTTACCATTTAAATTCCATAAGCTTGTAAGCTTATTTTATCAATATACTTGCCATTATTCATAAGCTCGTAAGCTTATTTGCATACTTATCATTTATTAACCAATAAAACATAACTCATAGCACATAATATAATTGAATGAGGAACCCGATATAGGAGTCAAAATATTGCACCGAAGTGCTGAGGTCGAGATTTTACCCACCTAGTACACCGTAGTGTTTGTATTGTGTCTTCACTAGACACTAAGGCCTGCACTATGTGCCTTCTCTAGACACTCTAGTGCTACCTAATATTGTAGCTGCTAGACTCTATGGCATGCCATTAATACCACTGATCCTCAATAACTTATTTGGGCATATAATCAATTTTATATAATTCATCCATGGCAAAGTATATTATCATAATTTAACAATGGGGCAGTTTATACTCAAAAGCATTCATGGTAAAATATCATATTTCCCAAAATCAAAGCATTATAATTTCATCCAATGACATCTCAATGTCATGTCAATTTATAAAAATGACATAATAACATGTTATAAACGAGGTCGACTTATCGCAAGTCTTCCCGATGATGTATAAAACATCCATATATAATTTCATGCATGTATTGCACTCACCTTGACACTTTATATCTTACAAAATATTTGTGCCTCACTATTGTCCACAATATACCCTTTTTATACTTGACTTGCTTCAATTGCAAATCAACCATGATCTGTATAAATCACAAATTTATAACAATACATATGTTAGTATTGTACTAACATAAACATATCCCAAAATAATTCCATAGTATATTTGATACTCATTAACTATCAAAATACTTAATACTTAATAATTTCCTTTTAACAGTAGAATCAACTTTTCCAATTTACACAAAATGGTCCATCACCATTTTATCACTTAAAATTTCAATACAAAAATTCCAGTATTGAAATTATTATCAACCAAGTACACAAAAGCATAATTACAATAACACTCCCAACAATTCGAAATTTATATTACAATCACCAAACTTTCTAAAATTTCCATATTCTGACAACTTGCACTACCTTTAAAGAATCAGTATTCTGTACTGATATACACACTGTAATTCAATTTCGTTTATTCCGTTGAAAACTATACTCAAATACGAATCTATCCATATAACGAACTCCTTCTAATTCATTCTGTAAAATTTATGATGAATTTTGAAAGTTGACCAACAGAATCTGTTTTGCAGAATCTGATGTCCGAATTTTCTGACATTTCCTTGGTTAAAAATTCATATCTTTTTGTATTGACCTTGAAATTGATCCCGTTTGTTTTAAACAAAACTAGATCGATATATAAACACAAATATATAAAAATAATCTCCAAATTATTTTTATATAATTTCTGGTGAATTTTCGAACCTACTGCCAAATTCAGAATCTAACTGTTTCTTTTAACTTCATCCCTAGGTTCTTCATCAATTTTCTAAAATTTACATATTTATCCCCAACTTTTCAAAACTTATGAAATGATCCCCAATTTTTCTGAGGCCTATAGAATACTTGCTTCATCATTTCCAACCCATCTATAATTTTTCCATAATTTTCCTCACTCAAACCATTCATGGCCGAAATTTAAAGAACAAGTTCTAGAAAGATTAAACATGTTCTAATCATCATACATGCTTGAATATGAATCTACTACCTCACAAACATCAAAATCCATCATCAATTTCAAGATCCCTTTATA